CCCCAAAACCCCAAAACCCCAAAACCCCAAAACCCCACAGGGAGTAATGGTAATTGTGAAAATCAGGTTTTAAGTTAACCCTTTACTGCTTCAGTGCTGTTTTTGGACTCTTCAAGATCGCTGATGGGCATCTCTTCTTCACTATCGGTGTCTAGGTCTTGTTGGATACCAAATAATTGGTATAGGGCTGTGCTGATGGACTTGCAAACCCTTCGTTTTTCTCCCCTTCTGTTTGAAACTTTAGGGAAACTTAGCCTTTTGTAGAATAGATAAGAGTTGTAGTATTTTTCGCCTATTCAGTAATAATCCTTGTACATTCCATACAGAATGAAGTTGTTATTTATGATAGAACTTTATAGCAGCATTGTTGTAGTCAATAACGTGCAGATAGATTATTTCTCAGGCAGGCCTATGTTTCCCGACCCATTCTATTGCTTGGTCTATCAGTTTTGTGCCTATCCCAAACCTTCTGGCTTCATCAACCACTCCAATAGTGCCGATATAAAGCCCTAAAGCCTTATTCCAGGACAACCATCCTTTTTGAGCAAGTTCATTGGTGATGTAATTATTTTTAAAATGTCCGATGAAAATGCCGATGAGGTGGGTTTCCCAGAAAGCGCCCATTCAGAAGATACGTTTATTGTCTATTTTATCAAAATATTTGGAATCGTAGTACACTGGGAACCATTCCTCATGAAGTTGCTTTATTTCTTTCACATTCGATCTATCCACTAAGCGGTATTGAATCTCTGAGGCGTCTATTTGTTCAGGAAGAATGCTATGGACCTCTGAAGTAGTGTACTGGCTGCGAAGTTCTTCAGGCCAAGCTTCGGATGAGACAACCTTATGTTTCAAGTCTTGCATATTGACTTCTTTAGGAACAGTATTATTTTATCAAATGCATATCTTGTACGCTATTTGGAATCTCAGGGGAAACTTACGTAATTGGCTTTCTGTCAGCAATCTCTCATAGGTCAGGATGATGGGCCAGATCAGTCTGGAACTGATCATAAGCTACATCAGAACCAGGCTGATTCAGCTTAGTTTCTTCATGAATTTGAGGAGTGTTTGAGGTTTCTTTGTTATCTGACTTGTTGTCTTTTTCCATTTTCAATTATATTAAAATTTAATGGGGTTTTGGGGTTTTGGGGTTTTGGGGTTTTGGGGTTTTGGGGTTTTGGGG